GCCGTCTGCCCGAGCCGCGCCGAGCCTCCGGACAATGGGGCCCCGGCGGCTGCTGCTGGTCGCCGCGGGACTCAGTCTGTGCGGCCCCCTGCTCTCGGCCCGCGCCCGAGGCCGCAAGCCCGGTGAGAGCTGCCCCGGTATTCCCTCCCGGCCCGCTGTCGGCCCCGCAACCGAGGCCCCCGCGGGACTGGGGCGGGCGGGAGGGAGAAGGGACCGAAAGGGTACAGGCTGCGCCTTCTCCTCGACAGGGGGTGGGGGTGGGGGGGTGCTCCTGGCCTCACCCTCTGCCTCAGGTTCCTCCAGAACCCAAGCAGGTATTTGAGCTGAGATCCAGAGTCTCCCCCAGTCAAATCCAAGCGGGGATTATGACCCCTGCTCCTTTGGGCTTGGTTTCGAAGGGTGCAGCCTTCCTGAGAAGTGGTGTTGGATAGGGAGGAGGAGGAAGGGGTCACGTTTTCCTGCGGAAGCCTGAGGCCTGCCTGGCCCCTCGTTGCATTTGTTGCAGTGTGACCTGTTTCTCCCAGGACCACCCCACAAAGAACTGGTCTCACGTTGCTCCACCAGTCAGCGTTCTGGCCCTTGCAATATAAAGTGGAGAAGGGCTCCCGTTGAAGTTTTGTTTTGTTGGAAAATTGGGTTTTTTGCACATTTTACAGAGGTGGCCACGGCGAGGGAGGCGGTGGTGGTGGCGGGCGGGAGGTTTTGTTACCCAGAACCCAGTCTTCCAAGCTGAGTTAAGGAAAGAGATTCCTCCCCAGAACCCGGCTCCCTTAGACACTCTGGGATTTCAGTATTTCTCTTTCTGGCCTGCTGCAAGAAGGAGGTTGCCGCACCTAGAATACAATTCCCACCCGTAGTGTATTTGTAAGTATCTGGCTACTTGGCCAAATAAATGTATTTTCCAAACTTTCCCCCCATAAAAGCAGGACAGAGAAGTTGTTTTTAACTGGTAAAGACACTAGTTAGAAACTGAGGGGGAAAAAAAAGTTTCAATTTCTTTATAGCGATAGTGCTTTATAAGCTTTTAGCCCGTTTTCTTTTCCCCACGTAGAAACAGATTCTAGCTGGTTTTCTTATCGGGGACAGATTGTGTCCTTTACATTGTTTTCACACTGGACCTAGTGTAGATGCATCAAGAATAAGAGGTGACGAAGATAGTGTTTGCTCTCCATCTTTGCTCTGGATGAGTTTGTCGGGGCGTTTTGGGAAAACTCCAAGCTCCAGATAGGGGCCCAGTTTTGCCCCAGCTCCCAGGGCTGCATTGTCTCCTGGGGTGTTTGAGGAGACATAGAGAACTCCTGAAAACTGTATGGTGTTATGTGACTTTGTACTTTTATTTTGGGCCAAGCTCTTGAGAATACAAAGTGTTGTTTGAGATTTGGATGGTGAGGTCGGGAGTAAGTTTATACAAGCCTGATCCCCTGTAGTCACCTTCCTCACAGCGGCCCCCAGGAAGATCTTGGTGCAGGTTAGGGAGTGAAGTTTAGGCTGCTCTTTGTGCTCTGCTTTCATCCTTGTGAACGGAGAAGGTGCATGCTGAGATGGACAAGGCAGTGTAGACAGTAACAGAACAGACATTGGCTAATTTACCTACACTGGATTCTGGAACCACTTTGGGAGGGAAAGAAGAAAGGAGGATGAGAGAGGAAGTGCTGAGTGTCCTCGTCTGTGTCAAACCCTGGCCTGGGAGGCATTTGCCCCTCAGATGATCTGATTTCACCCTCTCAGAGACACTGTTAAGGCAGTTGTTTATCCCTCATTGGCATCCTGAAACGAAGGCTCAGAGACAATATACCAAAATTCCAGATGGAGGAGGGCGCCCTGCCTGCAGGAAGTTAAGTGGGGCCTTGTCTTCAGAGATTTAAATCACTAATAAAATCAACTAAAAATAGGTCTGCTTTTTTTTTTTTATCACCGTTCACAGGCAGTTCTAAAGAGTATCTGTCATAACAAGCTGTATGTGCTGGGCGGAACTGTAAGACCCCAGGCGTGGGAAGACCCTCCAGGCTGCCCTGCCCACCAGTTTGAGCTTTCCTGAAGCTCTCAGGACTTTTTTGTCCCCACTCATTTTGGCATTTGCTGCACCGTCACTATGTGGGTATCTCATCTCCCCGGCCAAGATTATAAACTTCCATTTATCCCCAGAAGTCTAGAACCAGTGTCCTCATCCACTCAGCAACAGCAAATGGCTGTTGAGAAATTCTTAAGTTCAATTAACCAGTTTACTTTCCTTTGTCCAGACAGTGTAAGTGAGATGACTCATCTTCATCAAAGAGCGCCAGCATCCACGAGGTGACGTTTGTAAATTTTTTAAGGATCTGATGGCTGAAAGGGTCCAAGAATCGCTGACGATGACAGTGGCACAGGGGATTGGGTGGGAGATGCCCCGTGCTGCCCGGCCGCCCACCAGCCCGAGCCCCGTTTCTTAGCATAGAGCGAGGTGCCCCTCTATCCAGCCTCCTCTGTTACATAACCTGTTAGATTACCTGTACTCCACCCAGCCCTACCTTCCAGTTCCTCCTCCAAGGAGCTATGCTTTCTGTGACATCTATCCCCCTGCCACTCCCTCTGGCCAAAATGCCCTCCCTTACACCCCACATGTTCATATTTAATTAAAAACAGCCACTCTATATCAAGCACCTACTACAGCAGCATCCTGCTTAGGTACTTTGCATATACTATCTTGTTTATTCCTCACAACAATCCTTTGAGTAGACGTCATCCCCATATCACAGGTAGGTAAATAGGCCCAAAATGGTTACGTCACAGGTCTGGCAAGAAGTAGAACTGGCCTGTTTTTCCGAAGCGCAGGCTTTCTCTATCCACCCCTATAGAGAGGAAGCCGTCCAGATGCCCAGCAGTAGAGAAGAGTAACTCTCCTGTGCTCCCCAGGACCCCTAGAGGACCAAGTCTGCACCCCGTTGGTGTGTACCCCTGGCCTAGCACAGGGAGGTGTTTAGTGAACATTTGTGCTTGGGTCGTGGTCTCCTGCTATTTACTTTTGCAAACACATGATAAGGCAGGCTATAAATAGATCCCTACTCATGAATATGCTAATTAATTGGCTGTTACCGAGAGACTGTGGTCCTAAACCTAAACAAAAGACACAAACAGGACAATGATTCTGCCCTAAGGGGACCAGAAACCTCTATAAAGCCTGAAAGCCAAATTTCTTAGGAAATAGCAAGAAGTAAATTTCTACTCTAATATCTATCTAAATTAATTTCTTCCTTCTCTCTCTCTCCCTTACTCATTCATTGTTTTCATTCCCTAGTGCCTTCGACTTTACTTTTATAGGACATATTCCCCCCTAAATTAGTCCAGTCTTCCTTTGTATGAGAGAATATTTTGGAGGCATGGGTTAATTAGCCCTTTCTCAGGAATACTCTCATGTCCTCTCTGCTGTCCTCTTCCTCCCCCTCCATCTTTCTAATTCAGCTTTTCTCGGCCCTTTATGCCTAAATGGATCAGCATTCTGTGAACCCTAACTTGCACTTTCTCAGCAGCTCTGCATTTGCTCCTTTTCCAAAACGCTTCTGGCCAGTCTTTGTCCCCGTGCCCTTTTTACCCCTTCCCCTCCCTCAGCCAGTTCATCTTTATCTTTGTCACCATCACACACCGGAACTCAGCTGAACCTTGAGCTGGGTGGAGTTCCACAGGGACAATGGAGTCCCCACAACCCTGGGCTTCTAATCATCCCCCCTCCTCCACTTAGACACACATCCCTCTTTTCCGTCGGAACTCCTTTCTTTCCTGGATTTTTAAATCGAGGCAAAATTTACGTACTATTAAATTAACCATTTTAAAGTATACCATCTTTAGTGGTATTTGGTGCACTTACAATGTTGTGTAATCACCACCTCTGTCTAGTTCCAGAATATTTTCATCACCCCAAAACAAGCCCTGTATCCCTTAAGCACTTAACCCCCATTCTCCCTGCCGCCAGTCTCTGGCAACCACAGATTTGCTTTTTATTTCTATGTGAGTTTACCTCTTCTCTGCATTTCCTATAAATGGCAGCAAACAGTATGTGGCCTTTTGGGTCTGGAGGACTCCCCTTTCACTAGTTTTCATGAGTGTGTGGGTGCCCCCTTTGCTATGAATACTTAGAAAAACACCCTGGGAGAGTCATTAGGAACCACGGCCTTGGTTTTGTTTTTTTTTTTAACTATGATGCTGGTATTGGGGGCTCCACAGTTTCAACATTCAGAATTTTCTGTTTATTTCCCTATTTTGAGGTTTCTTTCATTCTGCCTTTTGCCATCTCTTGCTTATGACTGGAACTGTCAGAGCAAATAGCTCTCTCTGAAGGCTGAGATTGTTTTTTCTGGGTATGAGCTTCCACTTCGTTCAAATACTCTCTCCCACACTGACCTTGTGATGGTACTTGCAGAAACCCACTGAAGTTACAGCCTCCTTCTCCATCCCAAGACATCCAATGAAGTTTTGTCACATAAAAGGCCATCGCGTCCTTTATGCATTCTTCATGTAGGTTGAAAATAATCTGCCCTTTGAAATAACAGGAATAACCAGTAATTTTCATGTGCAAATTTATTTAACTTTAAGAAAGGACATTATATCATCAATATTTCAAGTCCGTGATGAATTAGAAATCAGGTATTATAGTATTGTAGAATAGTGTTTTCCCGTATTTTCTTTTTTTGCTAGCCAACAGACAGAACTGTGAGGAATATACTTTACATTGTGACACAGTAGTTGTGTGTGTCTGCAGTAAATATGTATGGGTAATTGTTGTGTATACATAGATTTGAAACAAAAGTTCTACCAAACCGTACTCACCTTTATCGCATACTATGCATTCCAATATTTTCTACACTATTCTATTTTTTTAAAAGATTTTATTTACTGATTTATTTGACAGAGAGAGACAGCAAGAGAGGGAACACAGCAGAGGGAGTGGGAAAGGGAGAAGCAGGCTTCCCGCTGAGCAGGGAGCTGGATGTGGGGCTCGATCCCAGGACCCTGGGATCACGACCTGAGCCGAAGGCAGACGCTTAACGACTGAATCACCCAGGCACCCCTACACTATTCTGTTTTTTTAAATGCTTGTTAAACCCTGTAAATTGATGTCATAAGCATTATGAAGTCTCCATGGTCTTTT